ATTGCCTGGCTAACCAGGGATCGTGTGCGAACAACCGAAAGTAATACGACAGTGTGCTGGATGGTGTGGAAGCTTGACAGTGAGGTAAAGTTTAAGAATAGAGTCCCAAGGGAAGCGAACGCACAATGACCTTGATCCGACCAATCAGAAAATAGGAGGATTTTTGCATAAAATTTTACGTATATTTACACAAAAAAGCATGAAAAAAACATTATACAGGATACTTCTGTCTAATATGAGATAAAAAGTCTCCCAGTTATATTGAGGAGTATCAGTTTTTAAATTAAACCAATTTCTATACATATATTCGTCTAGATGACTAAAAATGACTTCCTTTTGAGAGCCGTTTATAGCTCTGATTCTGTTTTTTGGTCTTCCCCAGAAACCTTCGATTGAATTGGTATGGGTACCGGTTCTAGGGTCCACGAAGTCATCTGAATGGTTTACTCGATGGTGTATATATCCCAAATCCGATAATCGGTTATATCCTGCCCATTCATCCTTATGAATGGTTGTGCCTGGCAACACCAGTCTTTGAATAATAGGTAGTAGTGTATCCGCACTCCTATCCGGAATGAGTTCGATGAAACCTTTGCGAATCTGCGTGTCGTAAATACCAAGAACCCAAACGTTATTGGCCCTAGCACGTCCCCGGTTATACTTCCTTTTTACAAGCACAGTTTCGTCGATATGAACAACTACACCCACTCCGCCTAGCACTTGCGTGATGGCATTTATCTTCCACGACGCTAAACCTCTGCAAAACTGGAACCATTGCACAGTAGACGGTAAGGTATTGTCTGTCTGGGCTGCAGTTGATCTCACTCCGGTCTTCAAAATCCAGTAATGAAATAGAAACAGGATATTCGTCAGCGAAAGTTTCGATTTTTCGAAGAAAGTTCCTAAAAGATAATCAACCGACAGTGTTACTTGCCAGTGCGAACACTTGTTCGCTTCCTACACTGTGTACACCTGAATATGTATCCATCAATGGCCTGGGTATACGGCTTCAGTTTCATGGAAGCACCGCAACTACAAATTCGAGCATGTCCTATTAACCCATTGTCTAAACAGTACTGCGAAACATGCTCTGGCTGAAATTTGCATCTGAGCAGATGCACAGGCGTCATTTTCGCGCTAGAATAATGGTTCTAATAATTTTCGGGGACTATTTACCACTACAATCTTCACATTCAGTCCCGAATATTCCAGAAATCCGCACGCGGATTTTATTTCCAATAAGCGCGCTTACTGAACACTTGAGCTACTAGGTGTCCTCCAAAGGAATGGAGTGAATGAAGTCAAACTGTTGCATCTTTTCTGCATACATTTACAGATCTCCAGGCAACTATATTGTAAGTATCTAGGCAACTTTTAGTGCACAGATAATGTGCGATGTATTACTGGGCGAGATACCCGTTCCTTTTGTGAAAATTTATGAAGTTTGATCATTTCTTGTTGGGTTCCAATGCTACACTGATTCGACTTATTGAGAACTTATGGCACACTTTTAGGATACTAAGCACGTCACAAAATAAACTTTTCGCATATATCAGCCACTGCAAATTTAGGATATAACTCTTTGAATTTCTTGAAACATGTTCAGTATTTGTAGGTGCGCCTAAGCCTTATTCTTGCATACTGTACCCAAACTTTACGATGTACCCTAGGTTCTTGCTATCTGATATAACCAACCGCTCTGTTAGTTCCTCAACATGTAATTTTTAGTCAATTCTCAGTGGTAGTGTTGTGAGATTTAAGGCGAGTTTGTTGCACAAGCCTCCTGAAGTAGAAAGAGGTAGTAAAAGCATACGTTTTTCAAGGTTTGTTTCATTTTCTTCTGTAACTTGGGCATAATGCCTGGAAGTTACCTTGTGCTTTTACTTTTATTGGTGACTCATTCGAATGCCTCAAAATTGTCCACATTGGTGCATATTTACTCACCGACTGTGCTCTTACAGATTCCGAGATCTTTCACTAGTTTTAGTTTAAACATTATCTCCGTCGCACCAATTTCTGTCTATCGTAGTATCTTCCTATTTCTGCTACCCTATTTTAAGTGAGTTTTGAAGTGTGGTGACTCAAATTGATGCACTTCTGTACTAATTTGTCTGTTTATCCATCTCATTGACTCTATCTATAGACGTGCCGTTGTCAACATTCAGCCTCTTTGAAGTGAACAGAGTATTTGACGTTCGGTTTTCCATGTGAAATGTTAGATTGTGCTGCAGGAGTTGCATGCTTCTTCCTTTAGTTGAGAACTGGTAGATGAAACTGTAGATTGTGCTGGATACATTTCCAGCCAGCGAAATCTTCAGGTCCACTGAAGGAACTTCAGGGCGAAATCTTTGTGTTCATCGGGGATAATTCTCAGTTCTTCTCTACATACTGGAGTGATCCCGCCGATTGTGCCCTAGTGGTTCTGCAGCTGGTACAAACTGTTCCATTTTTCTGCAATACTTGGAAAGTATGTCCCAGTTTCTGCAATGGCTTGAGTTAAATAGAAGCGGGGTTCTTATTCGTCGTGTGGTGACGAATAGATTTTTAACGAAGCTTTAGGTATTTGCTTGATCCTGAGGCACTGAGTAATTTGGAACTGAATTATTTAGCCTAGAGAAGGCGGAAATGTTTGTGTGAACTCTTAATATTCCCCAAAAGCATGTGCTGAGTGTGCTCTACTTTCTAACCTTTTCCGAATTGGAGTATTAAGTGAAAAAGGATTAAATTGGAGAAAAGTTACTATGGCACAACTTTGTGAATTCACTGCATATTTGTCGAAGTTACGTATAATTGAGGGTTGCCTGATGAATTTCCTGGTTTTCTAACGTCTGATAATTGGGTATTTATGTTGGGGTGGCCCAACATCTTCCAGAGTAGCTTAGGAGTATTCATTTTGTAATTACCTACTTTCCATGGAATTCTTTTCTTGCAAACACATATCTGATGTGCTAGCACTGTTTATTTCCTTTTGTGTGGTGTGTTTTGCAGTGTGGTAACATGAATCGATTTGTCTGTATAAACTTCTGTGTCGGCTTTTAAGTCATTAACTAAGGCTGTAATGCACCGTAATGGAAAATATCTCTTTTGTTGGCTTATTGTATCTAGTGATCGCATGTACGCTTTGAGTTACGTTAGGTCGGTTCAGCGTAATTACTTGCGGAAGTGGACCTTAGTATTAAGACTAATGGTAATGTGATTGAATGTAATAAAGCTAGTCTGTTGCAAAGGTATGCAACAGTGCGGTTTTTATCATTATCTTTACGCCAGCACATTTTTAAAGGTATTCTGTCTCAAGTGAGACAGTTCACACTAATATTTATTCCAAAATTTGGTAAATAATTTGATTTGTGCATAAAATTTATCATATGTAGCTCAAAGTTGAGTAGCTAGCAGTTGCACACGCATGTTACAGATAAAAATTGCGAAGCTCACTCATATTACGTTGTGCTGTCGTTGGGAAAACATGTGGCCAAATGTCGCTAACATCGCTAGTTTGACCGACATGTACGCTGTTTGGCTTCAAAAATGTTGATTTGGGATAATTTGTGTTTAATGTTTGTTTAGTGGTAGCTAATAGTAAAATCCGGGACGCGCATTTCGTTTTACTTAATACCCCTCAGTTGGACGTAGAGGCTCTATAGTTGTTGGTGGTCTTCCCACTAAGACTCTAAGTCAGTCATTGCTTCAGTCACCAATGCGTCATACGCTGAACCACGACAACCACCTCGTTTGATTTGAAACTATTTATTGATTTATTTTTGGTTTTTCATCTCGGTTTCTACAGCTAGACATCACCAAGTAATCGCGGTAATATCGAGATATCAATCAGACATATTAACCGGGAAATCTCAAATATGAATGAATTAGTATTAAGTAGTTTTAGTGTTTTCAATAAGTCACTAAAAAGCCTATATGTTCTCTTACTTCGTGTAATTAATTACTATCAATATATGCTCTGTTGTCTCATAACTGGTAGCGTCTCAGTGATGAAAATACATTCATGGTATCTTCATTTTGGCTGTAATATACTATTTCTTGGTCTTCTCTATCTACTTTTCACACAATAACACTACAAAATCGGATGATTTCCTTTTTGTATGACACAAGGGATGAATGATTGATGATGGAATTAAGTGTAGAGTTTTGGTTCAATAAGGTCTATTGATAAGGTATTGAATATTTATTTATTTGAGTGGCAGCCGGTACATGTATTACGCGTTTGAAGTGGAAACGATCTCAGTGACATAGGCGCGTAACATCAAATCCATTATTTGATTTTCTTCCTCACTTTCTATCATGCCGAGGCTTTGACTTTAAGTGACTTTGTTTTTATATTACACTATACTTCATATAAAAATCCAAATAAGTCATAACATTACATAGTGTTACGGGAACCTTTGCTGGTGTTGACTTTTGTGCCTAAATGTACATGCCATTACTCAGTACTATTTGGTTTTTTTCGTCTGTGTTGCATTTTCACCTCGAAAATGTATTAATTAGGAACAGAAACACAAACCAATAAGCATATTTAGTGTCGTCGTACAATTTCTCATTACCTGGACATTTAATGAAGTGTCAAGTGCTATTATTGGTAGTGACACCTCGTGAAATCTCTAAACTAAGCATAAATTATGAGCGGATCGAAACCTGATAAAATACCTTGTGTCTTTCGTGTAAGCCAAAATTTCGATGTACTTCCAGAGAATAATCAGAAATTCGGAAGAGTGTCATTTCGAATGTTTCAACCAATAGTTGTTCAAAAATCTGTACTTGACTGAATAGAAGTGTTCTTTTATATAGTTCGTAAAATTAGTCTGATTTTGGTATTTTCTGTATCTTATATTGTAGGTTATGCATATCACTTTGATGGATCCCCTCCTGCGGTTGCTAACCGAATGCTTAGTTCGAAAACAATGGAAAGTGCTACAAATCAGCAGACGAATTTAATTTTGATCGTAGTTGGAGATGTTCAGTTTTGTTTTCCATTAGTCTAAAGCATAATGCCTGGTGATCGAAAAAATTTTGAAGTGATAGAATTATCGATGCTAAAAAAGCATATATTTTTCCCACTCTCTGGTTTGGGAAATTTCACTGCACAAACCGTATTGTACCCATTTGTTTTGCTGCGCACACGGCTCCAGTTGCAAGAGGGTGCTCAAGTTTACCGTGGTCTTATACATGCTCTTTCTTCTGTCATTAGAGAAGAGGGTTTTCGAGGATTGTATAGTGGTTACTTAGTCAGGTCATTCCACATATTTTCAGGTAGGTTCATAGTTAGTCGTATATGGTTTTGTATTCGTTGCAAAATCCCAGATTTTTCATACCTACCCATTAATTTTTTTAATGGTAAGATCGATACAAAAAGTACATCTTTATTTCACGAAATATCGTACTTAATGGACTGACTGTTTTTCAGATTCCATACACTAAAGTGTTAAAGACGTGATCCTATTACCCTGCGAGTTGGTAAATTAATTTTGGGCTTGTTGCTCAGAAAATTTGATTGAAGATAAGTACCGCAAAGTGATGTCGTTTCAAGGTTCCCCTACTGTAGCGTTACATCTATCATGGTTGATAGTATTTAACTAAGTGAAATAAAGGAGCCTATTAGTAACCAAGCGTACTGTAGTAATTCCATTATGGGTAAATTTTTATTTCGATAAAGTCTCACAGTGTTATACAGTAATGTTTACTGATGACGTTTCCAGCACAATTTATTGCTCATAATCATATCAAGGTGATTATGATTATGAGCAATAAATTGTGCTCAAAACGTCATCAGTAAACATTACTGTATAACACTGTGAGACTTTATCGAAATAAAAATTTACCCATTATGGAATTGCACTCTACCGCAGTGCACAAGTTTTATTCTTATATCAATCGTACTGTAGTAAGTTAAGTCTGGGACAAGCAAATGTTGCAATAGATTATTATTCCTCAACTATTTCACATAGTTGTGATCTAACGCTACTGAAAACTGTGGATTAATCACATATCCCAGACAGATGATAACGGATCTCAATCCCTACCCCTTTCTGGATGACTTCTTATGTTAAAAATGATTGGTTAGTGAGTTAATTAGTTGAACTGAACTCAGCTACCTGGATCGGATTTTCCTTTTTGCCAGACTATAAGCCTTACATCAGTTATTAGTATATACTCTTTTATTTCAAATAACTAGGTATTGTCAGACATTTTATCGTCAGTGACTATGGTGGTTGTGATGCGATCGTAGAGAAACCGAAAAGTGTTGTAATATTTGCCTTCCGAATGCATTATTCGAATTGTATTTTTGAGTGTTACTTAACATTACAGTATGAGCTCTTTTTTCATAACTCTAATCAGTCTAATTTTTTTCCGGTAGATAAACATTATTTAATGTCTGTTTTCTCTTGTAATTTTGTATTTCATATAGCACCGTGTCATGTGATATTCTCTCATCTTCCATAAGCTTACTATAATTTCTCAATGAAATATAATTCATCATCCGGGAATGTCCTAGTTAGCCTCATTTTTGCTACCTGTCGATGAACAGCTACGAAAAGAATCGCCCTGGCTCCTAGTAGTTATATGCTCAGAAAAATTGGCATTCTTGTATATCTAGATGCATTTCATTCCTGATAATTTTGGTTTACAGTTGCGTGAAGAGATTTTATAAGCGTTTACAACTGACTTGAGGGTGTTGGTAACAAGTTCAAAAAAGACTGCTCAGATTTCAACATATGAGAAGTTCTTGTTATTGGTTACATTTTTAGTCAATGGCAATTTGCTTTTCCACCTTTTTACTTTTTATCTTACCAGTTGTCAAAAGTCACCAAAAGTTTTTTGCGAGCAGTGTGTGGATGACCTAAAGAACTTGGAATCAGCCTTGTTTTTGCATGCTATATTTGACATACTTGTTCACACATAGGTCAAATGCTAAAAATAGTTTTGTGTTTCAGTCCCTTGATTGTATTTTGTTGTACAATCTGAAACATGTTCATTTCATATAATAGGATAGAAATAATGTAGTCAGTAAACGATTGAAAAATCCTATCGAAAAGTAAGCACAATTCGACTTGGTAATTTGTCATCTCATTTTATATACTGTTTAGTAACTTTAATAAATCGTTAACTTGTTTTTTAATTACATATATATTTTCCCTTAATTTAAACAAACTAGGTACTATTTATGTTTCAACGTATGAGGTGGCGAGACATGCATGTTCTGTTTTTCCAGCTTTAAGTCCAGTTCATCGATCTTTTATCGGTGGTGGAGTTGCTTCATGTGTTGCTCAGAGCTTTTTTGTTCCTGTTGATGTTGTGTCTCAACACTTAATGGTTTTAAATCGTAATCGCTTCCATGCCAACATGTCTTGCATTTCATCAACTAATATAAAGGATTTTCACCCACTTACTCCAGTTCAGTTAAGCCAAAGAGAAATGGATTCCAACTGGGGTCGTCTTCGTGGCGTGATTCGTTATATCAAACAAACTCATGGGATTAAAGGTTTCTACAAGGGTTATTTAATATCCATGTGCACTTTTGTTCCCAGTTCGGCACTTTGGTGGTCTTTTTATGACAAGTTCTGTAGTAAGTTATCTGCGTTTGTTGCTATAATTATTGTTACTTCATTTCACTTGTCAGTCCTACAGGAATCTTTTATTATGTGAGCACTGTTTTCCGCTCAGTCGTCTACGTCACTTGATTTGAATTTACTAGCCTGAAATACAGTTTTGTAGCATACAGTTAGCTTTTGTTGTAATTTAGAAAAACCATGACATCCAGTTGTTAAATGCCCCTTAGAGATTTTCATATTTAAATATCAGTCAGTTAGATCACGAATTCGAGTCTTTTCTCTTTCCCCATTATTCAAACAACTTCAGTGAACATTAGTTAACTGTTAATTTTAGAACTACAAAAATGATTGTCTTAAACAACTTTTTTTTTACTGTAAACCTTTCTTTCCTGTAGTAAATTTAAGACAAACAATGATTATTGAAGCACAGTATTTAATGCCAGTGTACGCCGTCTCTGGCGTAGACGAAATATCCGACTATCGACCAAAGGGCGGGTGTACTGCTCATCAGTCCGCTCCGTCCTCCTTTATGGCTGTGAGCCAGACCTGGTCATTGAAAGTGGAAGACATGAAAGGATTGGCTGTCTTTGATCATAAGTGCCTGCGTTCTATTTCCCGTGTGAAGTGGTATGGTAGGGTGAGCAATATTGAGGTTAGGCGTCGAGTTCTAGGTAAACAGGGAAATCAATCGACGAAGTTGTGAAATTACAAAGACTGAGATGGTTAGGACATGTGTTACGTATGCCAAGTCATCGCCTTCCTCGACTGATGGGCAATGTTAACTGACATAGGATGGATCAGGATAGAAAAGAGCTAGTGGCGGTCAAACCAAAACATTGCACCAGTCAATGAAATCCATAATCCATGTAGGAAGGTGTAGACTTCCTGACTGGTTGGGGTCCTCGGGACGGTAAAAACCAATGGTTGGAAACAATTGGTGATATGGCTCAAAATCGTTCTCAATGGCGTAGATGCATCGACTCCTTGTGACTTATGATTTCCAATGAAACTATATCGTTCTTTATTATTGCTATTCTTTTATCTCACACCTCTGTTTACTGTTTCTGTCATGCACTTCTACTTTCTTCTCTTGGTTCGTGTGCTAAATGGAGAGAGTGTGGCGACTTGAACTGTCGCACATCGATGCAAAGTTCTATGTCGAAAACAGGCAGACAGACAGTATTTAATGAGTCAGCTGAATACTCTACAAGCATGATTATTTATTTTTTCAAGAGTTGGTTTGTAAGGCTTAGATATGTTTTCATGAGTTTGACCACGGATTTATATCAGTTAGAGAACCATTGAAAACCAGGGAATATTGGACAGCTGCTGTTTCATCCTAGTTTGGGAATCATCGGCAGTGCTCACCCACCAACAGGGTTCGAATCCAGGACCTTCCGGTTGCAAGGCAAGCTCGTATACCATTCAGTCACTGGGACCGGATTCAATGGCCAGCCCATGAATTCTAACTTCTACCAATTCGTGATTTAGCGCGACCACCAACCAATGTCATCGGTGGGAAATCCACCCTCACACTTGACTGGTTGGACCTCACTGGTCATGACTGCTCACTAGAACTCCAGGGAACTCAGTCCTGTAGCAAGTCACTAGCGATTAATTTCTGAAGAGTTGGTTTGTAAGTATTAGATTTGTTCTTACGAGTTTGATAACGGATTTATATCAGTTAGAGAACCATGATTCCCAAACTAGGATGAAACAGCTGTCCAGTACTCCCTGGTTTTCATTGGTTCCCTAAGTGGTTATTTATATCAATTTCTAAGGTCATGATGCATACATACATATTGACATCGCGATAACAAATAAATATCAAGTCCAATAAGTGTATGGTCAGAGAACACTATTAGTTGCAAGTTATCCATCTGAGCTACAAATCTCTATTATTTCAAGTGTACGGTCAATAAGAATTGGGCGTCCCCTTGGAATCAGTCAGCCGTGAAAAGACACGATATATATTCTTTCATATCAATGCATATAGACAATTATAGACATCAGTTTGATTGGGATAGTGTCGAAATCTTAGACAGAGGAAACACCAAAGGTACCAGGGAATTCCTAGAAGCCTGGTGCTCAAACGAATATGCATTTAACAAACACTTGAAACACGTTAATATAGACCAAATAATATATACCAACTAATAAAAAGTAAATCATGTGACCAGAAAGCTTAAAATCCAAGTCGATAAAAAATGATCAATACATATGTAAAGATGGTTACCAGGAGACCCAATTATATCACTCATAAAAAATTTAAATCATTTCACTGTATGCTAAATATTGTGATGAAGATGTTGTCCAGAAGGACGACGAATGATCCGCAACTTGTTTACTTAATTACAAAGTGGTGGTAACATTCATAAAAGCATATTTTAGCAGATTAAATGAAGTTACCATGGGGAGATAATAAAGGAATATATACAACTAGACTTTAAAATATTAAAGTGAAAAGAGGATTTTTCAACTGAATATATTTCAACCAAATTTGACTTTTAAACGTGTTTGAGTTAAATTCAAGAAATAATTTAAGCACTCCAAACGAAGATTATTATTCGACTGTGATTCGTGATTTCAATTATTCTTAGGTAGTATGGAATAGAATACCCCAAAAACCATAGTAATAATAATAGTGGTAGGAGAAATGAATAACAAAGAAAGGGAAGGAAGGGGAAATTTTTGAAGCTAAAGAGTATGATATCAAGGTAGATTTGAGCTGTCTACTGTCTCGTCCTGTATATCAAGATTCGGGTTCTTCAGTCGAATAGTATAAGCTTCAGCAAACCGAAGTACTTTTTTGTTACTGTGCTTATTCATGATTTTCTTATTCCTATACGTCCCCAGTGGAACATAGGGCTTTAAGCTAGAGCTTTGAAGTTTTGGTAGCAGTGTTGTTTATTTTTACGGGATGGGGTTGCTAGCCTCATGCTCAACCTTCTTCCCTCTTTACCGCTCTTATTACTGGTGTAGTCAGATGAAGGAGTGTGTCGGTCGAGGGTCGGAACCCGAACCATATTGGCGAGCATTCTACCGCTATGCCACCGACGCTCTAATTCATCATAATGGGTCAGTGATAGAGCTTCTTCGCGTGCTATCATGGAAACTTAGGTACCATTTAGGACAGTAAATACCAAGTCTGTCTGTTTTCGACATAGAACTTTGAACAAATGTGCACCAGTTCAAGTCGCCACACTCCGTGTAGCACGCGAAGCAAGAGAAGAAAGTACAAGAAAAGCATAATAGAGACAGTGAGCAGAGGGGTGAGACAAAGGAGTAATAACGAAGAACAAAACAGTTTCATTGGAGATCATAAGTCACAAGGAGTGGATGCATCTGGGCCACTGAGAACGATTTTGAGCCATGTCACCAATTGTTTCCAACCATAGATTTTTACCGTCCCGAGGATCCCAGCCTAGAAGTCTACACCTTCCTATGTGGCTTAGACCAACTGTTGTGGATTTCATTGACTGGTGCCAAGCTTTTGTTTGACTGCCACTGGCTTTTTTCCATCCTGACCCTATATCCGCTAACATCGCTCGTCGAGGGAGGCGATGACTTGGCATTACAGATAGCTTTTGTGACCTCATTTACAGACGGCGGACCAGTGTCTATATCCCATTCGGGTGTGTGCTGGATGTCGGGGAGGTTCAGTGTGGCTGTAGGCAAGTTAAATTGTCCCTCAAAGTGTTCTTTCCAGCGTTCAAGGCGTCTATCCTGAGAGCTAATTATGGAGCCATTTTTCTCTGAAATAGACTCACTTATGATTTGCCTTCTCCCACTCGTTTCCCTGATGAGTCCAAATAGTTGCCTGGTGTTGCCTATCCTCGAAGCTTTCTCTATCTCTTTCGCTTTTGTCACCCACCACTGTTCACGATCCTTGCGGATACTTTTCGTAAGTTTCTTTTTGTGCAGCTTTCGCTCCTCATTGAATTCGGAGCTCGCCGGAATAAGTCTTCTAGCATCTATCAGTTCGGATGAGGCGGTAAATACCAAGACGATCGACAGAGAACTTTCTGTACACTAAATGTATATGCATGTAAATTAGTGTATGCATTTTGATGTCAGTATATAAATTGATATAAATAATCCTGTTTATAGAGTGTTCAGTTGATGATTTCTGCCGAAATTAACGAATTCATAAAATACTGCTTTTTTCATAACTTTTACTTATCTTGTGAAATTCGATTGTTGACACATTACTACAGAGTATTTTGATACACACACTTAGTGGTTTTTTTCTGTATCAAACTTTACCGATTAATGCCTGCACTATTTCACAAAAATTTTCACATTTCACTTTTTGCCCCCCCAACATAGTTCTTATCCACTTTATTTCGACGAAAATATGGAAAGAGCCTATTCCAGATTCGATGTTATCACCCTCAAATTCAGATTCTTCTCCTATCCCAAGATTAATGATTCAATTAGTCTCAGCTCCTCTAGCAGGTATTTCATCTGCTGTCATTGTAAACCCACTTGATGTTGTTCGTGTTAGAATGCAGGTGAGTCTATATAGAGCGTTTGTTTTTACTCGTTTCTTAGTTGATCGCTTTCTAAGTAGAACAAAGTATAACAGTTTCCCAAATAAGTGGAGATATTCTTAGCTAGTTACTTTGTGGTAGTGATCTTGGTTTATTGTGGAATACTTCAGCATTGTTGAAGTGTGTTGTGGCTCGTAGTGTTATTTCTCAAGTTTCCCTCTTGTGATTCTCTCACTTGGTTTCATATTTAGACGTTTATGTTGGAAGTTTAAGTCACTTTATAAAAAGCCTTCATGGCAGTGCAGCAGCACTGTATTATCTTTTACACACAGTGAGATAATATTGCCGTAAATGTACTACTTTAAAATATATATGCCTTGAAGTTTCTGTAGCAATTTGGTTAAGTCTTGGGGGTGGAGTTGCTAGCACCACGCCCTAATCCTCCTTTATCCGGGCTTGGAACCGGCTAGAAAACTAGCGAGCTAGTAATCTTCGTCACTCAGCATTAACAACAAAATTCAGATTTTCAATACAAACGTCAAGTCAGTTCTTCTATACGGATCGGATCAGAAACTTAGCGGGAGGATCACAAAGAATATTTCCAACAGGCTATTGCAGACCTTTATCAACAACTAACTGTCTTCGCTGGCTCTATGCTGAAGATCAGACGGTTGGGCAGGAAAGAATCACCAACAAGAAACTTTGGGAAGAAACAAAATAAAACAAGAACCAATCACCAACCAACAATATGCATGAGAAAGTGGATATGGATTGAACACTCGCTCGCTGAGGAAGCCGCTGGGTGACATCGCGCCCGCGTCAGGTCATTTCTCGAGTGGAATCCGAAAGGGAAGCAGCTAGTGGGACGTCAGTGCAGGGGTGACATGGAGGAGGTCGTGTGAAAAGGAGTTGAAAGAGTATGGACTAACATGGATACAGGTGAAACGTACAGCAGAAAGAAGACATAAGCAAGTGGAGACGAGCAGTTGAAGCCATATGTTCCACTAGCAACCCAAGGGAACAATAATATAATAATAACAAATATACTACTTAATTAACGCGCCCAACAATACCAACAACGGAAGCAGAACTACCAGTGAACATTGACCCCCCGACAAAATCAGAAGTCCTGAATGCAATCAAGATGCTAAAAGCTGGAAAAGCAGCAGGAACAGATGGAATCCCAGCAGAAGCTTTGAAAATAGACCCAGAGACAACAGCGGAGTTGATGACGCCACTGCTGGAGAAGGTGTGGAAAGAGGGCAAAGTACCTGAGGATTGGAAGAACGGATACTTATTCAAACTACCGAAGAAAGGAGACTTAAGTCAATGCAAAAACTGGCGTGGAATTATGCTTCTATCCATCCCAAGCAAAATACTAAGCCGCATCATCCTGGAGAGAATAAAACAAGCCCTGGATGTAAAACTTCGATCGGAACAAGCTGGATTCAGGAGAAACAAACCATGTATTGATCAAATCGCCACACTACGGATCGTCATTGATCAAAGCTTGGAATGGCCGTCAGTCACCTCTCAATCTCAACTTCATCGACTTTGAAAAGGCCTTTGACAGCGTCGATCGAGAGGTGATTTGGCAACTACTTCGCTACTACGGGGTCCCATCGACAATTATACATCTCATCCAACAGTTATACGACATTGCTGCATGCCAAGTAATCCACAACGGGGAACTTACGGAAGCCTTCGAAGTGAGGACGGGAGTGAGGCAAGGCTGTCTACTATCGCCAATGATTTTCCTGATTGCAGTAGATTGGGTAATGCGACAGACAACGGCAACCAACGAGGGAACAGGCATAAAATGGACTGACACAAAAGACTTGGAGGATCTGGACTTCGCCGATGATATATGTCTGATTTCCCACAAACTGGAAGACATGCAAGTGAAAAGCAACAAGCTGGCAGAAGAAGCATCACAGATAGGACTTCCTTCAGGTGAACATAGATAAAACAGAGGTGATGAAGATTCCTGGCCAACATCAACAGCAACAACAACAACAGACAACAATCAGCCAGTATAAATGGGAGCAACCTGAAAGAAACAACCTGCTTCACCTACCCACCCAGCTGGGAAGCATCGTTTCAACTACAGGCGGAACTGACGAGGATATCAAAGCCAGAATCGGAAAAGCAAGACAGGCTTTCATTACGCTTAAGTCAGTGTGGAGGCGGTCAACAGCACTCAGTATCAAAAATAACATCCGGATTTTCAACTCCAATGTAAAGTCAGTCAGTGCTATTCACTATACGGATCAGAGACTTGGCGAGTCAAAAAGAGCATCTCAAACAAACTTCAGACCTTCATTAACAGTTGTCTTCGCTCAATTCTAATCAAGATCAGATGGCCGGCCAGAAAAGATCAGCAACAGGGAGGGATCTGTGACAATGAGCGAACCAACCAACCAGGAACCGATTGTGAAACAAATAGGCAGGAAGAAATGGAAATGGATTGGCCATACACTGAGGAAACCAGCAAGTGACATCACTAGACAAGCCATTTCTCGAGTGGAACGTGAAAGGGAAGCGACGAGTTGGTCGTCAGTGTGAGGGTGGGGTGACTTGGAGGAGGTCATGTGAGGAGGAGATGAAGGCATGTGGGCAGACTTGGAGCAGGGTGAAAAAGTTGGCAGAAAATCGAAGGCAATGGAGACGCGTAGTTGAAGCCGTATGTTCCTCTAGGAATTAAAGGATATAATAATAATACTTAATTAACACGAAGTGACTTCATTGACCCGTCAGGTTTTTGTTTAGTTTATGATAAACACTGCTACTATGAGAATAACACTAAAGACTACTTGCCCATTCGTGTGTGTGTGAATTTATTTGTTTAACGTATTCGTAGTTCTTAATCATATTCTATCCAATACTAAAGATCAAAACTCGTATGGATAAATATGTAATTGTGTATCAATCATTTTAATTGACTAGTAGGTTTAATATCCCTTTGAAACACGATATCTTTCGTTAGTTGTAACGACAATACTAGTGGTTAATGTGGTCGATTGCCTCCAACCATCGAATACCATCAAATCAATGTGCACCGTGATGGCGAGCTAGCTAGAATGGTGGTCACATTACAACCTGACTGATAGAATTCAGTCTACACCAGTCAGAGGACTAGACGCATCACACTAGTTACTAGTGTCAAATCAAAACAGATTGTGTATCCCATTCTTGTATACTATACCTTAAACATCGCGAATTAGGAAACTAATACGGTATATAATGAATTCATACACTTTAGGAGATCTTATTATCTGGTCACTGTATGTACCTGATTGTTTACAACCAGTCGTAGTTATCAATCATGTGAACAACGTAGAAATTTTGCAAAACAACTAACTAATGCGTTCAATAAGCAATAGGTGGCCTGCATGAATCACTAGGCTACCCAAATTGCTTTCCACAAAGTGCTTAATTTCATCTGGATTTATCATTGTTGTAATCGTTTAGTTATATCGAATGACCTATACATGAATTTGTTATCTGATTTAACTTGCATCTAACTAAATGCTTCAGATTATTACTTTACATGTAAATCCTGTGTGAAGAAAAAAGTATTTGGGAACTAAATACGCTTGAAATTTTTTATACAAAATGTCCGCATATTGTCTGAAATGAAGCTTTCTCATTATTATTATTATTATTATTATTATTATTATTATTATTATCATTATTATTATGTCCATATTTTTAAGATAATTTATTAAGCATCGATACGGAGTAAATCCTGCAGTTATTTTGCATTACTGTCGTCAGGAAAAGTAACCTATTGACAGACCGTTCACCACACTTATGAATTCTCTATTCCAATCCCTGGCTGCCTAGAAAAAAGACTCCTCTGTTCAATATGCCATCTTTTAGTCTCAATAAACTTAAAAATAAAATTTTCCTTCGAATTAAAACACTGTTATAAATTATAATTAATCGAAGGTGAATGCACTTAGTAATTCAAATATGCCTCCAGAATTTTCATCTTATTGATAAAATAAATTGTACCATTGAAACAAATCAGGTCAATAATGTTTTAATCGATTTTCTATAAAGATAAAGACGCATATAGCTGGCTGAATTATAACTCTGTAAAACTTCTAGATGCCGTACTCCACATGAGTTTATTAAAGCAGAATTTGTGTGGAGGCAAAATGAATAGACGGAAGTTTGTAAAACAGTGAGAAGACATTAAAATGGCTTAGGTTGTGGTAAGAGCTGTCTGCCAGCCGAAATTGTAGACACCAATACAGGTCAATGTTTATGTCCCGAATCGGGGCCATGAGAAGAAAAAAGAACAAAGGCTATCCTTGAGGAACTCAATAACTAATCACAACAGAGTTATTTATTTTATTTTTTATTTTTGATTACAGCTTGATTCCACACTGTATTTTTGGTACAAGTATGGAATTTTCAGCATGGATATCGGTAGCCCAAATTTTGCAGGCCGACCATAGATATCAGGTGTGCGTCGGCAGGGCATTGAACCTCGGACCATGTGCATGGTCGTCGAGAGTCCTAACCACTGTGCTACCGACGTGGGCGGATACGATTCGCGAATATTTGACCGGACTGTCTAAGAAACGGCAACAGAGAGATGACAGAATAACCTTCAGCAGGAAAACAACCAATCAAAAGACGTTGCTTCTCTGCTAACAATAACAAATAATAATATATATAAAAATCTATAAATATCTGTTGATTTTCTCAATAAACGAGCCACCTATAAAAGACTACTTGGAACTGAGGGAAATGGCGATGTACTTCTGAACCCCCATGTTTCACTCAAGCCCAAGAGGATAGTGATAATGCATATTTCAGTCACATATAACTAATATTAGCATACGAAACTATTAAGTGATTGTTTTCTTTTCCAGTCCTCTGCTTGTTAAGTGATGCATTGATTCTACGTAACTTTTATTTTCAGTATGACGGCCATTACAAAAGCAAATCCTTAGATTAATATATGTGTAAAACTTGGGCACTGTGGTAGTAAGTAATTCCATATTAGTTTGTTTATTAGATGTATCACACAGTGAAACAGTATTATCATTTACTGGATGATGAGGTTTCGAACAAAATTTATTGGGGTTCATAATCATATCATCAATTGTAATCACACAACTTTGAAACTTTAGTTTTAGAGTTTTCCTTGTCTTCTCCTATTTGTCGTCGTTAGGGTACTAGAATTTTCCAGATATCCGACTGGACAGGTGTTGAATCATTCCTATTACATGTATTTACAATTGATTCGATAAACAAAGCTTATGTTATCAATTTCTCACTCCACACTGTGACATTAGATTTTAAAACTGTCACCATACGCAATAGGATGGGATAGGATGACAATTCTGAAATCTAATGTAACAGCTGGGTGGAGTGAGAGATTGATAACATAAGCTTTGTTTATCGAATCAATTGTAAATACATGTAATAGGAATGATTCAACACCTGTCCAGTCGGATATCTGGAAAATTCTAGTACCCTAACGACGACAAATAGAAGACAAGGAAAACTCTAAAACTAAAGTTTCAAAGTTGTGTGATTACAATTGATGATATGATTATGAACCCCAATAAATTTTGTTCGAAACCTCATCATCCAGTAAATGATAATACTGTTTCACTGTGTGATACATCTAATAAGCAAACTAATATGGAATTAAATCGCTAGAGCCCACATTTTTATTACTATTCTCCCGCATGTTTCTCACATTTCTTTCATTTATTTTTCAAAAAAACAACAACAACAATTCAGGTTTCACATATGCCATTCAAACAAAGTGCTATTAATCTATGGCAAACTGAAGGAATCCGTTGGTTTTCTAAAGGTTTATCCGCACGACTTGTTCAAACAACAATCTACTCATTTTGGCTTGTCTTAGTCTATGAACCTATGAAAATATTCTGTTTAAAAGATGATTATCGTGATAGATTTTATGCTTTACAAACGGATAGATAATATTAAGAAAATTAAAAAAAATAAATAAATAAAAACACAGCATACACAGTGTGTGAATCATTGCCAACAGCATATTACTGTACACATGTGTTTCAGTGCTTTTTTTTCTTTTTTTCTTAACCATTTCTGTTTTGAATTAAAGTGTGTTGCGTACACACTCTAATTCAATTGATTTCGATGTATTGTGATACATACCACCTAGTGGTGCAAGAGTAGTAATTTGAGATATTGGTCACTTTGTGTTCTTTCCACAGTTACATTTTGTTTCAATAGGTATATTGTATTTATGTATAACCGTTATTATTATTATTATTATTATTATTATCAGTATTAGTATTTTTTTTTCTGTCTATCGTGTTCTAGTTTTTAATTTTTTTTTTATATATTAACCTATTCACACCTTTTTGTCAACTCTTTTTGAGATAGTTTATTCACAGCATTGAAAAAGATTAGATATTACTCTTATTTTTATAAAGTTAAACTTGTGTTACTGAGAGTCAGGAGTTTCAAATTACACATACCAATCTGCATGCACTAGAAGTATTGTGTTCTAATTAAGCAATTGGTTAATTTATCAATGACTGACTGACTGACTGTTTTCCAAAGTAGTGAAGCAGTTCAAGTTACGACACTTCGTGTAGCAGACAAAGGTAGACAAAAGAGGAAAAAGATTAGAAAGAACTATAATTAGAACAAATATTAGTGACAAGGAAAAACATGAAGCTTTAATGGATATTCGAGATAACAAAGAGTGGATGCATCTGCGCCATTGAGAATAATTTCCAGCCATATCACCGATTGTCTGCAGTCATTGGTTCTTAGAATGCCGTGGACAGTCTATATACCTTCTTATGTGTCTCAAACCAACTGTCAAACATTGATATAAGTATAAAACTTGGCCACTGTGGTAGAGTATAGCTCCATTATGGATAAGATTTTATTTTGATAAGTCACACAGTGTTATACAGTAATATTAACTGATGACCACGTTTCCAGCACAAATTATTGCTCAAAATCATATCAAGCTACTCACAAAACTTTTTCTTTCATTTATATACTTGTGTGGAATCGATTAGATATTGGAATAAAATCAGTATGAGATAATGTACATTGAAAAATAATAATACGAGTGCTATTGATCAATTACAATTATATGGAAAATACGACGAGTGTTTTTATTGTCATAATAAGTTACTTGTTAGAATGTTGTGATGTGTTTGAATTGAAATAGAATTTTAAGATTATTTATTATCCACTTCTGATTTGACCGGCGCGTGCACAAATGTGAAAGGTCAAATCATCGTGTGCTTTCATCATGTAAATAAATATGTAAAGCAAGTTTTGAAGTTTATTTATATTGCAGTCCACTCTGCATAATGTTACCTACAATAGTAACAAAGTATGCAGAAAAATAAACACCGGAGGCACAAGGAAAGTGTATATGTGCACACATTAGGTGAATACACAGCCAGCTGCTTAGTACACGTTGTAAATTTTCTCAATGGCGCTGATATAAGCGGCTGTACGAACATCAAGTCCAAGATTGTAAGCGTCTGCAATATTCATAATACGCTTTGCTGATCTCTCCATGGTATATTCTAAACCAGAATGAACGATATCACGTTCAGATGCACCTGCAATACGAAGTTGAAAATCTTCAGACGGTATAATTGGTACCTTATCATTGAACTTCTTTTCTAGCGACTGCTGTACACTACTCAGCAACTGATAGTTAGAATCCCGTTCATATTTAAACGTCAGTCTTCCATAACTAACGTGGTTTAGGTTTTTCAGCCATTCAAAGTACGACACCGTAACACCTCCAGCATTTAAATATAAATCTGGAATAATCAGTTTGTTTTTCTCCCTCAAAATTTTATCAGCTTTCGGTGTTGTTGGCCCATTGGCACCTTCTCCAATTAATTTGGCACGGATCTTATCAGCATTACCACCATGGATTTGCTTTTCGTTAGCGGCAGGAATAAGGATATCACATTCTTCAAAAAGAAGTGATTCACCGGAATAAGGCTGAGCACGTGGAAAACCAACTATTGTGCCGTTAGCGATCTGCCATTCCTCAAGTTCACGGGTATCTATACCTTCTGGGTTAAAGATTTGTGCATCTATTTCAGCAACACCAATACATTTTGCGCCTGCACGGACGAGATAACGCATTGTATATAGACCAACGTTTCCAAATCCCTGAACGATGAATGTTTTATCTTTTAGACCTGGAGTTAAGCCAATGGTATCAGCGTATTTTGGATTATTTAGAAAGTTTTCTATCCCATGGAAAACACCACGTCCGGTGGCGGAAATGTGACCATGAATCCCACCCATGGCAACTGGTTTTCCTGTTATACAAGCGTGTGCATGCATGTCATTGTGGCCTACAGTAGTTGCGTAGGTATCGGCGAACCAACTCATTTCACGAGGTCCAGTACCCATATCCGGCGCAGGAACATCGGTGCCGGGACCAAGAAATCCTTGTTTCGCAAGTTCAAGCGCGAACCGACGAGTTATTCTTTCTAACTCTCCAACAGAGTGATCTTTCGGATTTGTTTTAATTCCTCCCTTAGCACTGCCAAATGGCACATCCACAACAGCACATTTGTAAGTCATCAAAGCAGCTAACGCTACAACTTCTTCTCTACATACATCTAGGCTATATCGTATGCCTCCTTTAGTGGGTCTTCGGTGGACACTATGCTGGGCTCTAAATCCTTGAATAACTTTGTAATTTCCGTCATCAGCTTTGTGGGGAAAGTTGACCTCAAATATATGGTTAGGTGGCCGTATTATATTCAGTGTTCCTTTGACAATTTTCGCTTTTTCATCATCCGGGGCTTTTGATTGAAGTTCTGACATAAGTTTCTGCTCAACAAGCTTAGAGGCTTTTTCATAGTATCCTTCAACCATGGTGTGGAACGGGACGTCATCTTGTTCAACACAACACGTATGACCGAATGCGCTGACGATGGGTGAGATGGACCTTGGGCATGATAAGAGTCCAGACCGCCTTTTTACAGCATTTGAGAATAGTTTCAGCATTATGGAGCCCCACCGCGTTGACAGCTCAAGACAAGTTTATTAACTGCCAAATGCACACACCACACTCGTCCTTCCCGCTAAATCAGAACATAAGAATTTACCTAAGGGAAGAATGGTTGACCCTGAAAAGATAATTAATTTAGAAAAAAGCTCAGCAATTGCACTTCACCCATTAACAAACAACCACATAATAGGGTGGGAGAAGGTTAAATTTCTTAAGAGTAATATAGGTTGGTGGAGAAAGAGGTTGATTACGGAATTCTTGTTCATCGAGTCTACACCCAACACATGCAACAGAAATGACTCAATGCAAATACCAGAAATATGGAAGATATTATTACCGCCAGTCAGTTAAATCAGGAGAGGATAATAAATAATCGTAAAATTCTATTTCAATTCAAACACATCACAACATTCTAACAAGTAGCTTATTATGACAATAAAAACACTCGTCGTATTTTCCATATAATTGTAATTGATCAATAGCACTCGTATTATTATTTTTCAATGTACATTATCTCATATTGATTTTATTCCAATATCTAATCGATTCCACACATGTATATAGATGAAGGAAAAAGTTGTGTGAATAGCTTGATATGGTTATGACTAGTAATAAATAGTTTGTGCTCGAAACGTCATCAGTTAATATTACTGTATAACACTGTGTGACTTATCAAAATAAAATCTTATCCATAATGAAGCAGCTGTCAAACACTTCATGAATCAATACTAGGTTTCGATTTGACCACCCCTAACTTTTCACACCTAAGATTGCCCGTCGGAGGAAGCGATCGCCCAGTGTGTGCAACACATGTTCTAGCCGCCTCAACTGGTGTAGCTTCACAATCCCATCGATCGACTCTCCTTTATTACCTAGCACTCTGCACCTAACCTTAATATTATCCACCATATTATGCCATTCAACAACGAAGACAGAATGCAAACACTTATCGTCACAAACAGTTACACTTTTCCAGCTTTCTACTTTCAACGGTCACATTTTACAGTTATAAGAATGGACGAAGTGAACTGCTGCTGTGTACACACATACTTTGATAGATTACTGGATATCACATACACACACACTAGAAATGACGTAATTTAGCAAATGCCACACGAGCCTTTTGTATCAATGCTGACATTTCAATAGCTGTCACTCCCTATGGTCTGATACAACTTTTCAAACAAGTGCGATGGTCATTGCGATCAACCACTTCACTCTCTATCTTCAAAATTTAAAGTTGGTGCAGTCCTCTTCTGCAGCATGAGTGAGGTTTATGCCGATGATGTAGCTGGTTAAGGTATACACCCAACTTCTGACCAGCTAAATAAAGTATGGAGCCCATTCTGTCGTTATTAATTTAAAACAAGTCAAGTAGAAGGATTAACCATCTAACTTACAGCCTATTCATCAACTTGTACTTATAGGTTGAATATTGCCATATTATGAAAGGTCATAACATAATAATAACACAATACTGAATGTGGTTATCTTAAATACCTGGTATTTTCATTCTGGGATATAATATTGTTATGTACTCGTCGCCAAATTGTTATGTTGCTGCTGCTGAGTGGTTAATAGTAGTTTTCCCCGTCGCCAAATTATTGTTATGTACTGGTCGAGAATTTAATAGTCCTGACGCAAGAAGGCGGAAATCAGAAGACCACTAGGTTTGCGATGATACTTCTATTTTCCAAACACAAGGTGAAGCAATAAGTGGTATCACACCAAAGTGTCACACAAGATTGTGAGAGCGAAATATATATGAATGTCCAGACAAGTGTGTGAACAAATCAATAGACAGTCTTAACATGAATGGCTAATTATAATGGAGTATCGATCCATATATACATAGCAAAATATAGCAGACATGTCAACAACCACACATATAATATGGATATATATATCACCAAGCAACGGACTGTCAACAAACACTCATATTATATATAATATAAGGGGAATATACATTGATAAAAGAGACAGGTTCATCAAAGTGAAATGGTCACAGACTAAGCGAGTAAACAGAAAGAGAGACCACCATACACACATATATATATATATGTATATGGATACATATCAAATATGAGGGCTAGTTTTAGGTTTTTGACAGACTTTTCAAACAATTGTGAAACTCAGTGTTCGTATTTATTCACTTGTGGATTGTATTAAAATTAGGGAAATCAGTTTTCTTCACATGTTCATCTTATCAGTTAATTAAATAATTTTTGCTGTAATTGGTTTATTTTCCCAGTCTACCCCTCTCCAGTGAGATTCTGTTTTACCTCGTAGTAAGAAAGGTTCATTTTCGCGTACCTAAGAATATTTGTACCAATTAATATATATATTGGAGAAGATTTGTAGCCCAGGTGGACGATTTTGATATAGTTGTGTTCTCTGAGCTGGATAGTTAATTTGAGAAGCCTTCATCGCCCTACTAGACAACATCTTCAGCGCATACTTCAATTTGAAGTGAGCTTTTAAATTTCTCCGCGAGTTTATTAGTCATCTCTCCTGGTGACCTTGGGTATGATTGGTTGTTTTTGTGTGTTTTCACACTCTCTAGGTTACTTGTATTGGTACTGATTGTTTCCTTGACTTGCACCTTGACCTTTAGTATGTGAAATTTCCTTCTTATCGGTTGATAAATTTTGTCTATGTTGATGTGTCTATTGTTTGATGATTTACTGGAATACCAGGCTTCTAAAAATTCTCTAGCATTCTTGGTGTTTCCTCAGTCTAATATTTGAACATTGTCCTAGTCGAATTGATGTCCGTGGTTGTCGGTATGTAGTGATATGAGGGAGTGGATGTTATGTCTTTTGACGGCTAGCTTATGATCGTGGATACGAATATGAAGAGGACGTCCACTTTGGCCAATGTAGTCTTTTTCGCAGTTGTTACAATTTATTTTGTAGATGATGTTGGTTTTATCTTCGTTCGCTGTTGAGTCTTTTGGCTAACAAGGAGCCAGTTGAGTGAAGTGATTTTGTTGGTTTGTGTTCGACGTCAATTCCTAAATGTTTGAAGTGTGTTGTAGTGATTTCTGAGATGTCCTTTATATATCCTTGGAGGCCTTTGATTTGATACGTTGGCTTCCGGGGGTGTATTTCTTTTGATGAGATTACGTGGGAAGACGTCCGTGAGATATCTTTCTTCAATTTTCCTTAAGTTGGGAGTGCTGCAATGAGTCCTGGCCCTCTTGAACAGTGTTTGTATTCAATTCCTCTTGTGTGTTATTGGATTGTAGCGATTGTAATTCAGTCTTTGGTCTGTGTGAGTTGATTTTCTATAAACTTGAGTTTCTAATTCCTCTGAGGTTGTTCGCTTGACTAAGACGTTCAAAAATGGGACTTTGTTCTCGGATTCCTCTTCTCTTGTAAATTTGATGTCGTTGAAGTTGTTGTTTATTAAGTTGTGAGTTTTATCTGACTCGTTTCTTTTGATTATTACAAGTGTGTCGTCTACGTAACGTATCCAAATTTTGGGCTTGATCTTTGGTAGGATTATGTTTTCGAGCCTTTGCATCCCTGCTTCTTTAATCAAACCGGACATTGGCGTTCCCATTGGTGTTCCCTTGAGATGACTAATGAACTCGCGGAGAGATCTAAAAGCTCACTTCAAATTGAAGTATGCGCTGAAGATGTTGTCTAGTAGGGCAATGAAAGCTTCTCAAATTAACAATCCAGCTCACAGAACACAACCACATCAATATATATATATATATATATATATATATATATATATATATATATATATATATATATATAACCATGGCATTTATGATTAGGTTAAAGAAGCTTGTAGACTGCATAGATTTTTAACATTGTTTGTTCTCCTGAATTATGGTGGTGGATTGTTCACATTCATTACGCCAGAAGGTTTGAAATAATAATATTAACACTTGTAGGTCGATTCAAGTTCGTTAAAATGACCTCCATTCCCCTATCAAACCGAATATTTCAGTGGAAAATAATCTACTATATTTTTATTTCTAACACTTCACAATTATCTTAACAAAATCACCTCATGTACCTCTTTCCTTTTAATGATCTTCAGTTACTTTCATTTATAAGTCTGTTATATTTTCCAATCATTCCGCGGTTCAGAGGTGTTATCACTGACCTCCAATTGATTCTGTGATTCTAAGTGTTTCAGAAAGTCATTTTCTTCATGACTGTGGTGGTTTTCCGTTGTATTATATCAGTGAATTTTGAGTCATCCACCGGATTTTTTTTGATGATTTCATTAGTTTGTGTGGTTAAAAAATATAAAGGTTCTAACATGTAAGGAGCTTGGTTGCACGACTTCTTACCCAGTGGTTCCTTCTGAAAATACGTATTACAACAACGGGTCAGTACACACATTTTCTCAGCCTTGTGGTCTTGAAATATAAACGTAATCTGGTAAAGTGCCTGGTTCACGGAGCAAGAGTGATAAGCTCGGATGAATGTCTTGAGGAGGAACCTAATAATATTAAACGGCTGCTAAGTGAAAATGGTTATCCCGGAAAGCTTGTTGATAAGAATCTGAATCTGAAATCAAAGCAGCCCAAGATACCAACAGTTCTAAAAAGGCCTTATTCTTACAGATGCAGTTCCTTGGGGACAACACCAGCGAGATACTAACACAGCGCCTTAGGAATGCGGTAAAAAGAGCACTCCCTGCTGCTGAATTAAGCTGTATCTTTAAAACCACTCCTCTTCTGCGTTCGGGAGTAAAAGACAAACTGCCTAATTTCGCCTCTTCCATGTGTATCTACCAATTTAACTGCTCCTGTGGATCCAGTTACATAGGCCGTACAATTAGACGTGTTTCTCGTCGAATTTCAGAACATCACCCTGCGTCGTTAAGTAAAGGACAAAAAAAATCTATTCGGAGCGTTATTCTGCCTCATCTTGTGGAGACAGAACACAAGATTGACGTTAACCATACTTTCAGGGTCATTTACCGCCTACCTACGAATCTAAATTTTGCCTTAAGAGTTCGACTACCAGATATTGCTGAGGCTGGCTGTTGGGAACCATATTAACAAGCCTAATTTATGCATCCAGAAGAAGTTAGTTCATACATTATCATTACCTTGGCCATCCAGGTTTGAATGATCCTGAATTTTTGTGGAATTTTCCTA